AAAAAAAAAAAAAAAAAAAAAAAAAAAAAAAAAAAAAAAAAAAAAAAAAAAACAGTAATTCGAGGTGGTATACTTTACTGGTGGCAAACCCCATGTCTTGTATTATTGTATAGGCTGGGCTACAAACTATGCCAACTTAATCCACTCTCAGGTTGAAACTGAAAGAGAGGCAGAGTAGAAGAATGCAAGCTGGAGAAAACATTTCCCAAAGAACAACGAACCTGGTAAAATTTCCTAAGTTATTAATGGTCATTTACAGGAATCTGCAACCAAGTTGACAATTATTAGACAACCACTAGTACTACAACTCTTGGGATAAGAATGCTGAGAATAACAGTAACAAAAGTTACGCAGAAGATAGTAAAAAAAGAAAGAATCCATGCCGCAGCAAGTAGGCCATGAACATCTTATAAGAACCCATCAAACCTGATGACAGAAGAACTCATTTATGTCAGAAAACTGGCACATACTATCATGAAAAACAATAGCATTACTGAAAAGTCATTTTAGTTCATAAAATTAATTCAAAAGATCACATTTGTGTTCTTAATGAAATAAAATATTGATATCAAGATGTCCTTCATAAACAAGATGTGCCATTCTCTGAAACCTAAGCTTATGTCTTGTGCTAATCTGCATTTAAAGACACTTAAAAATAAGAAAAAAGGGAAGTTATTCTCCACCATCCAAAAGAAATGCAATACATATTGCACGAATGGACATATTTTACAGAGAAACGCGGCATAACAAAGACCAAGAAAATGGTGCGTATAGAGTATCTATAATAAAGTCCATCTTACATGCCTCAACCACATCCTCCATGGCACTTCACTACCACATACAAGCAACCAAATGATGAAAAGACGAGCATAAAATTTTAATAAAAGCTCGGTATCACATTTTTCTCCACTAGTGTTCTTCATAGGGAAAATTCTATAATTCAAAGTTGCTTCCAATTAAAAATCTTTATACAGACAAAACGCTTTGTACACAACCACCATCAAAGCTTAATATTCTAAAATTTGTATGGAATTGGCTGCTAAAGGACGTGCAGCCACAGTATCTTAACAGAATCACTTGTTCCCCTCCCCCAATCCTCCCACGACCAAAACTAATATTCAGCACGACAATAATGATCGAAGTTGAATGCTATCCACTTGAGTGCATGGGGTAAAGTATGCATTAAATCGAAGTAAAACTAAAATGCAGTCATCATTGAACATCACCCTGCCTGCCTGCCAATGAATAGCCATATTTCTATACGGAACAGGACAACATCCACGCAGAATTCCTACAACTTCACATGAGATTGTTCAATTAATTAAGGTCATAGCTTCCTTCTTCAACCTGACTTTCAGCGAAGGTAGTGGACATCACTAACCCGAAGAACTTCATGAAACACATATTATACAATTATAGTAGAATTTCGTGAATCTAATTTGAATACATCGCATATTTCCAAAGAACAACCCAGGAATGGAAGCCAAATCCTATAAGATCAAAAGAAAAGAGCCATAAGGCCAAAAGCACTTCCTAGTATTGGATGATGAAAGTCCCACATCGGCTAATTTAGGGAATGATCATGGGTTTATAATCAAAGAATACTTTCTCCATTGGAGCGAGGCCTTTTGAGGAAGCCCAAAGCTAGGCCATGAGAGCTTATGCTCAAAGTGGACAATATCATACCATTGTGGAGAGTCGTGTTCATCTAACAAGGTATCAGAGTCATGCCCTAAACTTAGTCGTGCCAATAGACTGATAAAAGGAGTCGAGCCTCCTCGGGCTCCTCAAAGGCATAGTAAACAATAACTAAGACTCCAAAAGAAAAAGGAGGCTGCATAGTAAAAAATGACTAAGACTCCAAAAGAAAAAGGAGTCGAGCCTCGATTAAGGGGAGACGTATTTTGTTCGAGGGGAGGTGTTGGGTGATGAAAGTCCCACATCGGTTAATTTAGGTAATGATCGGGAATGATCTTGGGTTTATAATCAAAGAATAATCTCTCCATTGGAGTGAGGCCTTTTGGGGAGCCCAAAGAAAAGTCAAGAGAGCTTGAGCATAGCTCAAAGTAGACAATATCATACCATTGTGGAGACTCGTGTTCATCTAACACCTAGCCCTTTAAAGTTCTACTCATATTATGAACCGGAAAGCGATCAAGCCTTCAGACCCATCATCTATAAGTAAGGTATGCAGCCTTCTTACCATCTGCATTGACAATAAGCTGTAAAAGAACCTATGCCATTTTAAACAAGAAGAATGATTTGTACACCAACAGAAAATGCACAACTTATGCAATTGGGGAAGACGGAACCAGTCAACCCCTTAAAGAACGGGGGGAGGCCAAGAACGGAACAGCAAGAGTATGCATACGGAGAGAAAAACCTAAACCCAAAGATCGCCACACACCAAACCGGTCGTCGAAGAGAAAAAGACTCACCTCACTACTTCTGATAACCACCTCCACGGGCATTAATATCCTCCTCGATTGCGGCAGTAAGATAAACTTTGGGGAAGTCGGCAGGGTCGAACTTAGTCTCCTTCATCATCTGCTCGATGTCAGGTTTCTTGAGGATAATGCGTCGAATTGGAGGGCGATTGCGACGCTGGTCGCGGCTGTAATACTTAATGTCGAAGACGGTTTGGGGATTGGAGGTGGGGACAATGGGTTTCTGCTTAGTAGTGGCGGGGCAAAAGACCCTGTACTCTAAGGCGCTGGGGACGGCAGATCTGTACTCTGGATCTGCACAAGGGCCGGTGATCTCCCATGGCTTCTTGATGAAGCGCTTTAGGGTTTGGAAGAGGGAGGAGGAAGCTTTGGCCATGGAGGGAGGGAGGGAGAGAGAGAGGGGGGCAGGGGATGGGATGGGAACAACCCAAAATTCTTCCGACTTAAAAATGAAAATTTGTGAAATGATTTTGGATTTTTTTGTATGAAAGGTTATATACTGCAAACTCGGTTGGCAGTTGGCACAAGTAATTTTCAGTTTTTATTGATTTTATATTTCCTAGTTAAATTAATACCTTTAAAAAATTTAATATTTCATTTTAGAAATATTATTAATACTCTCCAACATTTACCTAAAATAAATGTCCTTTCCGTTATTATCATGCTTAAAAAATATCTTTTAAATTTCATAAAATTTTAAATGTGAGAATTTTATTACATAATAACTATTTATAAAATGTTAAAAATAACATTTCAGTTAAGAATTTCTAAAACAAATATAAAATTGATGGACAAAGAATTAAAAAAAAGGCCCAAGAATTGAGTCACCAAAACTTGCGGAATAAAACATAAACCTAAATAGCCCCCGGCGAGGATCGAACTCGCGACCTTTCGCTTACGAAGCGAACGCACTACCACTATGCTACGGAGGCAGCTGTTGTTACAAGCATTCCTGTAGTTTATTTAACTAAAACATTACAAATTTCTGTTTTATCGGGCGTTTTTCATTGGTACCATATTAAAATTTCTCACCATAGATAAGCAGTATATAAATATATATATATATTTTTTTTTATCGAATCTTGAAAGTTTTGATATGATTAGAGAAGCTCATTCTGAGGATTGATTATATTTACTTGTGTTGTTAAGACTTGAGGGTACTGCTTTGATTCAAATTCCGTTGTAATAGAAAATTGGATTGAGAAAAATATTGGGAGATGTTTTTGACAGTTTGTAGGAAGCAGAAGGAAAGCAAAAGGGAGAGGTGAAGAAAGAATAATATCAGATGCATACATATATTGATTCATCAGAATGTTGATGTTCATGTTCACCATCTTTACAACACTTCTTAACCATTAGTCACAACGCTTCACAGCACTATCTATCTATCTATATTGTAGGAAAAAAAAAAGAAAAATGAAGGTTCCATCACTATGAAATGCAAAACAGATAGATGTGGAAAGGTTAAAGAAGAAACTGTCAAGTAAACAACTGTCTTCGTCTGCCTGACTTCGTGCGTAAATGAGCAGCCTCAACGTATACGATTTCGTCAACCAAGTCTTTGAATATCAATCTTTCAACGTCTAAGACGACGTTGGAGATGTCACCAAAGAAATCAGTCCAACTCTCAGATCTTTGCAACACATCCTCCATTAACATGTTTTTCAAACCGTCGTCCTGATCATCCAAGTTGCATTTGGGTGTCTTGGTTTGAAACTGTTTGATTTCGGCACATAGCTCCTTCAGAAGCGTTTGCGCACTAATAGATTTAGTTACTAGTTTTTTGGATGTTGTCCAGGGCTCTGGTGATGCAGCAACAACAGACAACTTTCTGCCAACAGTCTCATTAACAACATCAAAAATGAGTTTGCGATGAGATTTCTCCTGCTTCAGTTTTGAATCTGCAACTTTCACAGAGCTGCACTCATCCTTTCTTACCAAACTGCTCGTCTTGGTTTGCTCCAAAACGAAGAATAACTCAGGGTTGATCGGATGACCAGAAGGGTGGAGTTGAAACGTTGCCAGGCCCGAGCCTAGGTCCCGGAGTAAGAGGCCAGAAGCTAACAATATTTCAGATATGTATCTGTTATCTGGATCAGTATTCTCACATAATGATGCAATGTAATCTGTTTTTGCTTCATCATAGTGAGAGTTCAGGCGCCTGAGCTTCTGAACCAAGTTGTCGATGTTTTGCAGTTTCTTGCGGTTGATTTCCATGCTAAGACCAGGCTCCACACTGCTATCTGTGGCACTCCATTGATATTCACCACAATCTTCAGAGCCTAAAGCCCTATTGCCTGAAAGGTATGCATCAAAGTATTAGAGCGGATTAAATTGAAACTTCCTCTCTCTTTCAGAATGGAATTGAAAAGTTGAGCTTAAATTTCTATGCTGCGGCTTAAGAGTGATATCATGATAAAGCTTCACCCACCGGAGCACAACAAAATGAATTTGCCGAACATTATAAAACCATAAAATATCCTGGCCTACATTCTAAATCTGACATATTTCAAGATTGATCATCAATAATTACCTCCCACCCCCTGTTAAAAATGTGTCATCTTCATATTCACTTTTGAAAATGTGGGACGGTGGTACAGTGACTAAATTGTGAAATATTCAAATTGATTCAGAAAGGATTGTTGGTTTTACCTTTGAGGGATTTTGATATCTGCTTAACAGGAGATGGCGATGGCTCCTCGTCTCTATACATAGAGGAATCGAGAATGGAAACCGGACTAGGATGTTCAAGAGCAGGAGTAGCAAGTTTTGCCTGCAAGCCACAAAATCAAAACTCAAACTTGAGTTCTGAAACAATTTAATATATTATAGATTAGTTGCTGTAAATGCAGAGCAAAAAGAAAATGAATAGGTCACCTACATTTTCCATTGAATGTGAACCTGAGTACTTTGAAGTCTTCATTTGTAAACCATGGCTACCATTAATGTCAGTAGGAAGTTCGCTGCTGGTGACTTCTATATCTGTCTTTGAGTCCAAGGATAAATTACTGTCAGACAGTTGAGATATGTCGTCTCCTTGGTTGCTCAAAGTTCTTGATTCATTACTTATCTCACTCAATTGGTCATCCATTTGGGACACATGCGAAGATTTCATTCTCAATTTTCCAACGTGAGAGCCCGAATCAGTTTCTTGTCTGTTGGATTTCCATTTAGTTTTGTTTGTGTCAGATGGAGGAGTTGGTGGTCGAGATCGTTTGTCTTGCTCAGCCTTCTTCTGCTGCAATCTTGGGCTCACAGACCCTGAGGTTTTTATTGAACTTACGGTGTTTTCCGTTGCCAAATGTTGAGGCTTTGAAGAAGAATGCGTTGGTCTTAGATTTTTTGCATTCTCTTTCTTTTTGGTGGAACTCGCACCAGAGCCCCTCCCACTATTTTCAGGAGATGTATCTTTAACTGCTCGGTTGCCACTGAAGTTCTTTTTACCATGCGGGGCTTTCTGAAGCTTAGGGACACCAGGAAGGCCATCCATCTGAATAACTGATGAAGCTGGAATTCCAGATTTTTCCACAAGTTTTGCTGGTTTCATGATCACAATTGGAGATTCCCCACTCCTGGAAGAATCCTTTTGGTTCTTTGGCCGACTTCGTTCGCTCATCAACCTACAATTAACACTACTGCTCTCACGTTTTGATTCATTCTCTCTTTGAGTTCCACTGTTACAAGGTTCCTCCTCCTTCCTAGTCTCCAAGAGCCCCTTTGATTGCATAGCGTCAAGGATCTGTTTCAGTGCTCTAAGATCTTTCCCTGATTGTTTAAACTCCAAGTCTTCCAATCTTTTTTCAATTTCGCTATAAACAGAAGGAAAGGGGTTAGACGATCCAGCTAATCCATTTAGGTGCTTCAGAGCAGGTTTATGAAAGGCTCTACTTCCATCCTGCTGCCTCCAAGGTGCAACTTCTACCGGAAACTTTGAATTTGGTATAGGTTTCATTACTAAATCAGGATTCTTCCATCGTGGAGAAGTTGGGCCTTTCAATGTGTTCCGAGGAGAGTCAGGAGTTCTAATTGGCCTCATTGAGCTTATGCCATCCAATGAGCTAACGAAGGGGTCACGTCTCACCTGAGCATCACTGGCCAAGGGTGAGCCTGGAAGTGCTTCCAATCCCATTAACTTTGCCACAACACTGGGGGGATGCTTTCTGGATCCCGACGGTTGTGGTGGATCAATAGATTTTTCACTTGAGCAATCGCTACCATTCAAGTTCTTTGAAAGTTTGTTTGATTTTAACATACACTTGGAACCATGAATTGAACTCTCCCTGCTGTCCAATGAGAGTCTTGGAAAGTCTTTAAATTTCGGAGCTGACCGAATGGTATCTCGTGATTCAAAGGATAATCGCTCAACCTCTCTCCCATCATAAGAAAACCGAGGACCATCTCTAGAGAATGATTGCACAAATCCATCTTTTACTTCGTGAGACAGTTTATCATGTTCTCCGACTTCATTGTAATACCATGGTGCATCTCGAAGTTTAGCAAGAACCAAAAGAGACTCCTTCAGATCAACAGGCATCTTTTGTTTCCAATTTGTATCATCTTTAGAAGCCCCATCTGTAGATTGGGATAGCTGTAAAGGCCTTGGAGAGTCTCTATGCTTCATAGAACGACTCCGTGCTTCGTCATTGGTATACGTTTTGACCGATAACATTCTTGCTTCCCTATACATAGAATCCTTCACGACATCTCGCAGATCAAGGGGTTGCCTCCCCACACGGGGAGAGGTACTTGACTGGCTTGCTGCAGAATCTCTCAATGGCGCTCTTGATAAAAGTATCTGATCAAAGGAGGAAGCTTGCAACTGAGCTGTTTTGTTGTGCTCACCAGAGGACATGGAAGATGAGCAAGAGGAGAAAGAAGCTCTCGATAAATCTTTATTAAACCTTTGTTTGTCACTGGAACTCTCATTTAGAGACATGTCCTACAAGAACAAGATTCATAGATTACGATCCAGAATGAACTCAAAATTTCTGTACAGAACTTAAATGCTTAAACATATATGCAATTTAGTAAAGTAGCAGGCTTAAAAAATGGCAGAGTAATTAGGAGACTTACAGTTGCCTCTGTCTGAAAGACATTGTATTCTTTCCCTGGGTTGCCAATACTTAGATGAGAAGTGCCTGTAGTAGACAAGATTGAAAAAAAGAATTGGCATGATATCAATTTGCATACCACTGGATTAATACATAATAACGCTGAAATTATTAGATGATTAAAAAACTCATTTGGAGTGGCTGAATCAGAAGTAATCTAAATAAGGGATCGTCATTAGACACATGTTTATGAAGAGCATGATATGTTTTGTTTGTAAACCAAGGAATACCGATCCCCATATTTACAAAGTATTTTCCTCCAAAGAGCACCAATTACGGAGATATCCATAAAACAGCCGCAGAAGAGAAAGCAAAAGAATCACAAACTTAAATTCATTTCCTCCGTCCCCAAAACAAAAAAGAAAAGGAAACGATGTAGAGAAAGAAGTGGCATCTTCAACTCTTAAAAGAACTATGCATTGAAACAAGATATAACAAAGTGATGGAAACGTCATAAAGAAGATATAGTCCTTAGGCTGCTTGACGTTTTTGTGGCAAACAGACAATAAACGAAAGCAAATTGAGATAGTGAAATACCAGGAGGAAGCCGCCTGTGCCTCAATTGTCTTCCACTGAGTATATGCTGACGATCAAACAACTGCAAAATCCCAGTCATGCATCCTATTTGCTTCTGCAGATCTGGATTTTCATCAGCTAAAGAATGCAGAAGCTTTGCAGCCATCTTCAGGTTCTTCTCTTTCACAACAAACTATGCCCTTCCCTCAGTTCAGTCATAGAAAGAACCACATACCAAAACAAAAAAGAACCCAAATCTAAGGCTACACAACAAGATAATGCGTAGTGCAATAAATATTGTAACCAGCACTCCCTCAATCCAAAAAGAACAAAGCCCTTAGTTACTTGATAAAACAAACGCCTTTCTTCCCCACATTCTCCTGAGTTCTATTCAGTCCAAACCCCAAAAGAGATTCTTCGAAAGCCCATGCCCCTTGAGTTACAGCATCTCCCAACAGATTCTCCACCGAAATACAAATTCCTTCTTGGGTTGTACGTACAAGACAGAAATATCAGATTTACACCTAATTACAGCTTCAGAAACAGTGCAATTTCCAGCTGGACCACCATTAATCACAATCATCAGCTCACAATGTAAAAGAAATCCCAATCCCACAAAAATTTCCACCCAAATCCCAAAATGCTCTTCTGGGTTCCTTACCAATTTCCCAAATCTCGATTCCTTGCAGCAAAGGAGAAGAATCCAGGAGCAGAGAGAGGCAATGGGTGAACCAGGAATGGCGAGCGAAGAAGAGATAGAAAGAGAGAGGTGAAAGAAAAGGTTGTGCAGATTTATGAAGGGATGTGAACAAGTATCTTAGAAGAACAAATGTAAGCACTTGGTTGGAGCTAGTAACATGGAAAATGAAGCTAATCAAACAAACGCAATTGGGGATTGCAACAAAAGAGCTTCTTGTTTTCCTGGGATTCTTTTTAGAGGAAATTGAGAGAGTGGGGGAAGAGAGAGAGAGAGAGAGAAAATGTGGGTCAGATGTTCTTCAGCTTCCTATCTCGGAATGGGTATGTGAGTGGGTCAAGAGCTGTGTATATGTGCATGTGAACTTGTCAGTACTCTCCTAGAGAGAGAGAAGAGAGAAGAGAGAAGAGAGAAGAGAGAAGGATTTTTTACTTTGTATCCTCTTTCCTTTCTCAAACTCTCGCTTTCATGTTTCAAGTTGCTACTTCCCTGAAACAGCCGGAGCTGATGATACTAATTAAAACAAGATGACTTCAACATGAACAATTGGTCCCATTTTAGATGAGAAATTAAAGCTTCATTTCCAAAAATAATAAAATGGAAAGAAAAAAAAAACTTGGAATTTTAATTTATTAGGTGAAATAATCTCAACTTACCAATCGATAAGGAGAGACATGTATATCAACTAGGTTGGGAAGTGTTTAAGAAATTGGACATGAATTTCTTTATGATGATAATAATAATAAATGTCAACACTTGAACAAGGAAAACCAATAATATTTATTTAGAGAGAGAGCTTTGTAGTTTACTATTAGAAAATAATTGAAAGTTGTTAGGACATCATGACATGGGCGCCATCATCTCCTCACAACCTCAAATAAGTCTTTGCTCATTGAAATATACAACAAATAATGTTGTTTTTCATTCATTCTTTTGAATTAGGGAAAAATAATTGTAATAGTAAAAAAAAGTTGGATGAAATCTAAAGTTGGGTTTTGTCCCGTTGTTCACATTGTTAGTTGAACTCATGAAAATGTGATGAGAAGATGGAAGAAAGGTTTTGCATGGCATGTGGGATGGATTACAAAGATTAGGGCATCACCAACTAAACAATAATACCCATTTCCCATGGAACAATGCAATGAGTGTTATGGTCCTTTAATATTGATATACGGCGACATTGTCAAAGCTCTCTCTTTGTCTCTTGGAATCTTTATCATTTGGTTGATGCCCCTCAAAGGAGTGGAAGAATTAGGTAGGCCAACAGAGGTGGGGGCTTTCAACCCCACAACTTAATATATAACCAATAATTTCATCGAGAACTCTTTTTTTTTTTTTTTTAGGGTACAAGAGAGAGAAGAATTCTGCATGATGGGATCTCTCTCTCTCTCTCTCTCTCTCTCTCTCTCTCTCTCTCTCTCTCTCTCTCTCTCTCTCTCTCT